GAGCCAGTCATGCAACCTCGGCTCTGCTCCTTTAATGACTCCTCGGCAGCAAGGCACGGCCACACCCCACGCGAGCCCTGCCCACCACCTGGGCGGAGGCCTGCACCTGCACACTCACACGTGGCCAAATGCACGCGTGTGCTCCGGAGCCGGCAGGCAGGCCCGGCCAGGTGAGCACACAGTAGGCTCTGCCTGCCACAGGGTCACGATCCCCAGGTAAGGTGCCAGGTAGACACGATAAGTGGGAAATCAAAGCCCTATTAGTACTCACGGCGGAGCGTCAGCATTCCCTGCCCTGACACTGGGAATGAGGTCTGGCTGGGCTCACACAATGGTGAAGATGACCCTCCGGGCAGGCTGTCTGCCACAGACTGTCTTGGTAGGTCCTGTGACCAGGAGGGAGGTAAAGGAGATGGGGGCAGGGGACAGAGGGACAGGCCAAGAGGGAACATCTCATCCTTGGGACCTCTCTCAAAGCCCTGGCCACATGGAATTTTCCCCTACACCCTGATGGAGGCCCTGCCTCTGCTCACCAGCCTGCTGCTTATTCACGCAAGAGAAAACACAAAAGCAGGAGATTCCGAAGAAAAAAATAGGTCAGCTGCCTGGGGCAGACTGAACTGGCACCCGTGGGCAGTGCCCCTGAGGGGCCAGGCTGCAAGCTGCTCCTGCAACCCAGCACCCTCGCCCATCTTCCCTGCGACCCAGCCCTGCTCGACTCGGCTGTGCTGAGTAACAAACCGGGTGTCAGAGCCACTGGGGCAGGACACACCTGTTGTTGGCATTCCGGGGGCTCGACCTGGGTTTGTCCCCCCGACTTAGGCTTTCTCTCTTGGAACCTCAGGCATCCTTAAATCTAGAGCCTGGGCGGGGCCCCCAACTTTGGAAACTTCTGGGCTGCCTACACTCAGGTGCAGAGCTGGGGATAAGGAAAGCGAGGCATCTGTTCTTCTGAGTCTAGTCTCCGCCACCCACGGCACTTGGAGAGGAGTGACTCCCCACCTCCTGCCTGCAGACTGACTGCCCCTGTCCTGCTGCGTTCCACACGTGTGCGGGCACACACACACACACACACAGGTGCAAACACACATGCTCACAGACACATGCACATGCACGCAGATGCGCGCACACCTCCGGACAGCTCTTCACAATTCAGAGCCGCTCCACACAAGCTGCTCACCCATTCCAGGGAAGCAGACAGAAGAAACTCGCTCCCCTGAGCCCCAAGCCCCAGCCTGAAGAGGCCACAGGATGGGGGGAGGAGGGAGATGTTAGTGGAGAAGTGTGGTAAATCCCAGGCCCGGCCCCCTTTGGGCTTCATCTCCCCACCCTCAGTCCCTGGGCAAGACACACAGGATGGTGCCCAGCACACCAGAGGAAAAAAAAGGGCCAACGAGAAGAGAATGAGCAGGCCAGGCTCTGAGAGCCGCGCCCAGGCGCCCTGGCCGGGCGGGCAGAGGGGAGAGAGAAAATGCAGGCACTAGAGAAAGCAGAGCCAGAAGAGAGGGAGGGCAGGAGATGCCTGGCTTTAGCATCTCCCCAGCTAGGCAGTCTCTGCTCCTTGGGTAACCAGATCCCACTTTCTATCAGAGCCATAAACATGAAACCACCCAGCTCTGGGGCCTGACAACTCCAAGTCTAGCAAGTGCTGGGCCTCAGGCCAGGAGCTGAAAGCTGATTCTGCCCCCAGTTTCTCCTCAGCTTCTCCCAGGGCGCATGCTGTCCGACACAACCCCTCTGACGCCGTGCGAGGGCCCTGTGCACCCCACTTGGCCACTTCCTGAGCCAGCCCTCCCTGGCCCATAGGCTGCCCAGGAGGTCTTTCCAGCAGCTCCGGGTCTAAACCTCCTCCCTCTCATCTTCATTACCAAAGGGAGAACAGAGAGGGCACTGGTCCAGCTACACGCAGGATCTGAGTCAGAGCTCCACTTTATTTGGGGACACTGAAGTCAGGGATAATCCAGCCACAGAATCTGTGGGAGACGGGAGGAGGGAGCCCTGGACATCAAGGCCCAGAGTCAGCTAAGCGTGGTCCAGGGGGCTCCCCGCCCCCTCCCCGCTCAGCTTGCTCAGCAAAAGTCTGGGATGCTCAGACTCCAATCGCCACCTACCAGACTCCAGATACGTCTCTAGTCTCTCTCTTCTCCATTCCCTCCCCAGCCTCTCCACCCACCTCAATCCCCTCCAGACGCACAACTCAAGTCAAAAGGGGGAGCTCATCCCTACCTCTGCCCCAACCCAACAATGCCCAAGGGGCTGCCCCCTTCCACCCCTGTGCTAGAGCAGCCCTGCTTCCGGCAAACCCAACCCCACACATGGCATTGCAAAGCCCCTCCCCTTCAGGAATTCCAACCCCCCCCCCTCCGCCCCCGGAAGTCAACTCTGCCAGTCAGAGAGCAGCTGAGCTCTCACACAGACAGAGCCAGCATTTGAACACTACTGGCTGTTTCTCCTGTGAGCAGGCGCCTGCCAGGCAGGCCTCCCTTCTCCCTCCCTGCAGAGGTGGTGAGGCTATAACCTCCTGCATCCTTCCCACAAACCTCTGGCCACGGACAAAATCCCAGACCTTTCAAAGGCTTTCCACACAGCAGCCCGGTGGCCCGCATGCCCTCCACACATCTCCCCAGGCTGCAGAGGGATGCCAGGTTCTCCCTAAGACAAGGTCAGCCCATGAAAGAGTACTTGTTGTCTGACAGAGGCAGCCTTCTCAACTCCTCCCCAAGATACCCTGGTGCCCGATGCCCTGAATGCCCCAAGGGAAAGAAACTAAGAAGACTGGAACCCCAGAGATAATGAAATGATGGTGATGGTGGTAACATTTATTGAGCACTTACTATATAACAGGTAGTCACTCATTTCTTTATAGCGCGAAGGCTCACCCTACTTGCTCATCCTGTTCACCCCATTTCCCACGGAGGCAAGTGATATTTAGAGAGCTTAGACAACTTGCCCAAGGTCACAGGGCCAGCACGTGCCAGAGCCCAGGATTCGAATCCAGGTCATTTGACTCCAGGCCTAGGTCCTTAACCACTACCTTCAGAGCCTCTTTGAGCTAAAAAAAAAAGACCCCCAAGACCAATGAGGGGTGGCAGGCAGGAGTACAGGTCAAGTCACCCCAAACAGAAGGCCCTCTCCACACCTAGAAAGAAGGCATAACCTTCATGCCCAACACCAGGCAACACCAGGAAGTCCTTCTTTCTGTCTGGCCATGCTGTGTGTTGCTGCACTACATCGGCGCCTTTTCCTTTATTCTGTGCTTAAAACTTGCAAACAGTCCATTCCCCTCGCCCTGGCTTCTCAGCTTCAGAGGCTATGTCAGAGCTTCCCTTCAGTGTCTCCTTTTTTATTCAAAGATCCCAGCATATCCTTTTGTGCTTTCAGTGACAGTCCCATAGCAGGAACGTACCAAAAAATGGAGGGGAGGATGAGGGCATTGGAAGACTACAAGGAAGCAGGGGGAGAGGAGGCTGAGGATGGAGATTCCCAAGCACAACTTGACCCACCTCGCACCCACCCCCATTCTATAGGCTCCTGCAGTCTCCCTGGCTCCGTTTTCCCACCTGGCAAATGGAGGGTTTGAAAACCAACCAGGTCACCATGCCATTTAACAAAATCACCCTTCCCTTAGCCCTCCTCTGGTTCCGTTTTCAGATCCCTCCTCCCGCCCGAATAGCATGGGAATCATCCCTTCCAGAAACTTTCTCAAATCACTTCCCCTGCCCCCTACACTGCCCAGACAAGGTGAGGAGAGGACCCTGTAAAAGGCGCCTCCTGCCACCCCTGCTGCCCTCCCGCCGGCTGGGCGCGGGCTCTCTCCTAGGCGGGTCCTCCCGCCGACTTCCGCGCAAAGGCCGGTTCTCTGCGCAGCCACCTCCTCCGGGCTCCGTAAACTTGCCCGCCGCCCGCCGGCCGTGTTAGCGGCTGGGAGCCATGAGCTCAGACCTGGCACCCTCCAGCCTGCGCTCCTACTTCCATACAAGGGCCGAGAGCTGGGGGTGCCACCCAGCGGCTTGCAGGTCGCCTTGCCCGTCTCCAGAGCAAAAGCCCGCGCGTTCACGCGCGCATCACCCAACTCGCTGGCTTCCCTCTACCTTCCCAGCTCAGACAAAGTGGGGGAAAAAGGGAAAGAGAAAACCTCCCTGCGCTGCGAGAGGCAGCCGTGGGGACCCCTTCCCCGCTGCCCTTGCCCCCCGCCAGCTCTGCCTCGCAGCCGGGAGGGCGGCCGGGGCGGCCCGGCTGCGACGCGCTCCGCGCTCCCCGGGAACTTTTACCTGGCCGGGCCCAGGTGCGGCGCGGACAGCGCAGACGCCTGCCGGACAGGGCTGGCCAAAAGCCGACGCTCCTCTGAGCACGCCGAGGGACCCCCACCCCCACCCCCACCCCTCTTCTCCGCTCTCGGTTCTCCGTGCGCCCCCCGCCCTGGGAGAAGGACCCGACCTCTGGCTGCCAAGATTTGGGGTCAGGAGGGGCGCGCGCTGGAGCGGTGGGCGCCCGCAGGGCCCATAACCCAGTCCCTTAGCCGTGGGTGCCAGGAGTCCCAAGGCTCTGGGTCGCACCTCCCCGCGAGGGCTCGTCTGGGATCGGTGGCGCGGGTGCAGCAGCCTCCCGAACACCCGCAAACTCCCGGCACCCAGAGTTAGGGGAGCCGCCGACTCCCCAGCGCTCCAGGAGACCGCCGCGCCGGCTCAGGGCGCCGGGCACGGCACGCCGGGGTGAAGACGTGGGGCCGAAGGTGGGCGAAGTCGACCCCGATCGCGAGGTGTCTTTTTCCCCGAGTGCCCAGCAGCCCGAGGACTGGGACCCCTTCCCGCCTGAACCTCCGGCCCGCGCGGCCCCCGCCCTCTCCGCAGTGCCTGGCCGGAGCCCGCCTAGCCGGAGCCGGAGCCGGAGCCTCGCCCGCGGACAGGCGCGGCGCTCCGAGGGACCGGGGAGCGGGAGACGGGGAGGAAGGGGCTGCGAACAACGGGAGGGCAGAGCAGGGGCGCTGCACTTCAACTCACCTTGAGCCGCGAGACCTCGGGTGCTGATCACACTTGCTATCAAAGTGGCCACATACCAAATCATAGTACTACCGCGCGCCAGCCCGGAGCCTCATCCTATCGCAAAGTGCTCCTGCGCCGCACACTTCTCGCCCGAGCGCCTGCTCTCGCCCGCTCGACCCGCCTACGCCCCGCGCCGGTGCTGCTGCAGCCCGGGCGGCCCGCTCCCCATCCCTCCGCGACTCCGCTCGGCTCGGCGCGCAGGCTCCCCAAGCCCCGCGCAGCGGCACCTGCACTACCAGCCCCGGCGGAGCGCAGCCAGCCCACGGTGAAGCCTAGCTGGCCGGGCCTCCGGCACCGCCCCCACCTCCCGCCTATTGGCCACCGCCCACCAGCCTCGAGGCCGATTGGCTCGGAGGTCTGCCCGTCACGGCCGGGGAGGCGAGCCCATTTCAAGGTGCGTTGAAGTGTCGCCAGCCCAGAGCCGCAGAATCATGCGCATTGCCTGAGAGAAGGCGTTGTAGCGGCTCTGCTCTGTTCTCTCTGCTCACACTGCAAGGCAAGTTTCTGCTGAAGGAAATGGTAGCTTTTCTGGTTCGATCGTGGGACCCTGGGAGTCTCACATTACCCATGACAGTTCGGAGGGGACGTCGTCCCCGCCCACCCAGGGAACCCAACATCCGGTTTCCATCCAGCGAAAAGCAATTCCCGGGAGGAGGATGCTGATTCAGTGATGGGGAAACCCAGGAACGGGGAGCCTGGGAAAGCTCGGGAATGTCCTTCGCTGGAGATCTTGTCGAAGAGGTCACGCGCAACCTCCCCCACCCCCACCGCCTTCCACACGCGGACACGCTTCCCTCTGCCACGCACCCCTCCTACCCAGACGTGATGCTAAGTTCATCCACCCAGCCTGAAGGCAGGGCAATGACTAAAATGACCTCTGGAAGTCGCTAAGATTTCAAATGAGTCACTGGTTCAGCTGCAGGAGGAGTGTCATAGAACAGCCTCTGGAACACACTGTACACACACACTGCCACCCCCAGTGCGGGTCAGCGTTGCTCATCATTACTAAATCTCAACTTTGAACAATCAAAGTTTTTCTTTTTTCCCTTTCTTCTATAAAAGGCTGCTTCCTCATGCACAAGTTTCCTCCCCTCCCTACCTAGCTGGGGCCTAGCCCCATGTGAGCAGCATGGAGCCAAGATGGATTTGGGGAGCAGTGTAGGGTTCTGGAACAGAGAGATACAGAAAAAGGGGGAGGTGGGCTTCTGATTCCCACAGAAGAAGACAGATGAGCAGGGAAGGTCTTCATACTTCCCAGTCTCTCTACTGTAACCGCGCCTTGTCCCCTCCCCCAGTACAGTTGCATTTGCAGAAGACCTAAATGAGTGTCATGGAAACATCTACTACAAACAATCGCCAGCATTCTGAGACTGCAGTGAAGATGTCTGTTCTTCCAGGAGTGAAAGCAGTGGGGAGAGTGGCAGGGCTCCCTAGGATGGGCTCTTGGCCAAGGAAGGAAGATAGAGGGGCAGCAAAGGAGAGCTTAGGAATTTCACCTTCTCAAAATACTTCTTGGTCACAAAGCACTGGCTCTAGGACATGACGCTCCCAATAGAACAAGAAGGAGATTTGCTTTTGTGAACACACACACACACACACACACTCGCGCACACACACACAATCACACTCACACACACACTCACTCACACACCGCACATCAAAAGTGGCCTCAAACAACTTTCCCTAAACCTGAAGCTGCTTAGCTCACTGCCAGCCAGGAGATGGAAAGCTGGGGTCCCCAGCAGAGCAGGAAATGCATTGGTCAAGTTTTAGCTGGATGTAATCTAAAGAATCAGAACCCTTGAATAACCTCCTACTCTACCCACCCCCTCCGGTCATGCAAACACACTCAAGATGCATAACTTTGGGGACATCTCTCACTGAGCAATTACTTTAGGTTCTCTTTCTCTGCAAGGATGCCTTTCTTTCAGCATATAAAGTGAATTGGAAGCTCTAGGTCCCCCCTGATTGGCTAATTACCAGCTAGCATGCCCAAGAACAACAAGTCTACCCTCAAAATGTATGTGCACACACACGTTCACATGTTTTCCCAGGGACCTAGCATTATAAAGCCTGCTGAGATCCATTTGCAGAGCTGGTGATGGCAGGATTCTTCTGCTTCCAAACCTCTAAGCAGCTGACTGGCCTACAGAGAAATGCTGGATTCCTAAGGGCCAGCCCCCGTTCCTGGCCCCTTTCAGATACAGACAAAGCAGAGGAGTGAGAAGCACCTGTGCTCAGAGAAGCATTCTCCTAGTGACCCGCAGAATAAGGAAAAGAAGAGAGCCACTCTCACCATCATCTTGATTGTCCTTGCTGGCCATCTGTCCTACTCAGTGTGTTGGTCTCTGCTAGGGAATTAAGACTGTCAAATTGGAGGGAGAAAAGCCTCATAAAGAGCTTAAGTGCATGAGTTGGATTGGGAAAGGGTCCAAAGGAGCTATCTAAAAAGACTAGCCTGGCCAGCGTGGCTCCATGGTTGAACGTCAACCCATGAACCAGGAGGTCGCGGTTCATTTCCCAGTCAGAGCAAATGCTCGATCCCCAGTGAGGGGTGCACAGGAGGCAGCTGATCAATGATTCTCTCTCATCACTGATGTTTCTACCTCTCCCTCCCTCTCCTTCCCTCGCTGAAATCAATAAAAATATTTTTAAATAAAAAGAAGACTGAATTTCTTCTGGATAAATCTATTGAAAATGGAGTGGAACAAAGGAGTAAGGGCAGTGAGGAAAGAGAAGGAAGTTAGGATACAAAGGGGAAAGTGAGCATCATTGCCAGATAATGTCTGTTTGGTTTCATATCAGCTCAAAAGACACATGCTGTATCAGGTCACAGTGAGGAATGGGACTAATTAAGTATTTCCCCCTTGGCATGTGGCTAATCTCTGGACCCAGGATACATCCAGGGGAGGACTAAAAGTTAGAATGGATCCCAACTGTCCGAGAGGGACATGAGGGAAGACGGTGAACCATGCCCATGAGTAGTTCGTAGGTGGACCTGATTCGTCATTGAGGTCCCTGATAACCTCAGTGTACTAGTATGTACATCAAGTATGGGAGTATAGGTCATTTCTTCTCCTTTTTGGAAATTCAAAATGTTAGTCTTACCAGTTGCTCTATGAAAAACCACAGCTGGCCACCTACCCACAGATCCACATAGGCCCTCGGAGAATAAGTGAGTAAGGTGGCTGACAGAGCCTCAAGTCCAAGAGAAAAGGACACTGTCCTCACTCCTCCCTCATATTCACTGAGCAAGTAGGACTCAGAAACAATGGCTCTCTCCTGTGTCGCCTGTTACCCTCCTCAGTGGTTCCAGACCTCCTTGTAGAATCGAGGTTAGGACAGTTGTTGGCACAGCTGCGTGTGAGGAAAAGAGGCAGCTCTGAGTCAAAACAATTTACCCAAATAAACACCAAAGAGCATGCTGGGTTTTCATATAATTATGAAACTACATCAGTTATCTTGCAATATTTTTTTTTAAAAAATCACAAAATGTAGAGACTTCACACTACAACAGTCGTTCATTTGCTCACAGATCTGCGATTTGGGCAGAGCTTGGCGTGGACAGCTTTTTTCTACTTCATATGACATCGCACCAACAGGGTGGAAGTCGGACTTTCAAGATGGCTCACTCACATGGCTAGCAAGGTGGGGCTGGCTGCCAGCCCAGGCTGTAGACAAAGAACCACAGTCCTTCTCCATGTAGGCTTCTCCGCAGGCAGCTTGGGCTTCCTCACAACATGGTGGCTGGGTTCCAAGAGCCGGAATCCCTTCCTGTCCTAGCCTTGGAAGAGGCAATTCATCACTTCTGCCAAAGGGAAAGCCCTGCCCCATTTCCAAGGCAGAGAACATAGATCCCCACCTCCCAGGAGGAGCAGTCTCCCCAGCCCATTGCATGAAGAGCTTGTGGGATGAGATGTTGGGCTGTCGCCATTTGGGAGTGACACAGCCTGCCATGAAAACAGGCTTCAACATTTAAACAAAAAATGAACTCTAGAAGAAACTCCTAGACATAAAGGGCTCGAGAACAGTATCTAGATCTTAGAAATTTCTCACTTTAATTCCAGCTGCTGCCACCAGTCCCAGACACACAACAGGGGGGCTTGGCCCTTAGACAATCCTTTGTGTAAGTAAAGCCCATTTGTGAAGTCGGTCATTTCACCTGCTTTCTCTTGATATGCCAAGACCAGTCAGCAGGTTTTTAAAAGAACTCGCAAGCAGAGAAGAAAATAAACAAAGGAAATTGGATTTCCGACATATAAATATCTAATCTTCAGATCTGATGCAGGAGAAGTGGAGGAAAGCTTTGCAAGATTCTCGAACCTCCTGATCCTAAGAATCTCCCATCTGGGTTCATAACAGGCACAAATCTTTGCAGGCCCCTTGCCTGTTTCCTTCTCTCCCAGGTCCCTGCTCTTCCCAGGTGGCTCTGGTCACAGGTGGTCTTTCTGGACTTGAGTAGCTATTTTAACAGTCCACCTTGCTGTCGCCAAAAATAAATTCCTTAAGACTCTTTCTTATTAAAACTCAAACGTCATTATGATTCAAATTCCCCAGAACACCCAGTGTTCCCCTACGGCATTGCAGTTCCCCTAAAGGCTACCTCTTCAGTTCGGTGGTAGTGACTGGACCTGAGACAGATCCAGTCCTTCCAGGTGTCAGACACCTGTTCTGACCACCGTAGGATCAGCCTTTACTCTTCCTTCTTGGCTTCCCAGGCCAGCTCTGAACAATCTAAAAGAACACATGGCCATAGCCCAGCCATGGGCAAACTACGGCCCGCGGGCCGGATGCGGCCCGTTTGAAATGAATAAAACTAAAAAAAAAAAAAAAAAAAAAAAAAAAAGACCGTACCCTTTTATGTAATGATGTTTACTTTGAATTTATGTTAGTTCACACAAACACTCCATCCATGCTTTTGTTCCGGCCCTCCGGTCCAGTTTAAGAACCCATTGTGGCCCTTGAGTCAAAAAGTTTGCCCACCCCTGCCATAGCCAGTTTGGCTCAGTAGACAGAGTGTCATACTGTGGACTGAGGGGTCTTGGGTTCGATTCTGATCAAGGGCACATGCCCGGATTGCAGGCTGGATCCCCAATAGGGGGCGTGCAAGGGGAGCAGCTGATCAATCTCTCATCATTGATGTTTCTATCGCTCTCTCTCCCTCTCCCTTCCT